ATGATGGTTGGGATATATCTTTATTTGTAGTTATCATAAACCTTACTAGTTTATGATTATCCTTTGGCATGTAATCTTTATTCTAGTAGGATTCTAGTTTATCCTTGTCATTGGATAGATTGTAGACACCATATATATATGTGTGTCGTGTGGTTTAATGAGATACACAAGTTACTACTCTTCTAATCTCAACAATTTTAACATATTTAAAAAATAAAATTGGTTAGATTTTGGCTGGGATTTGGTATTGGAGGTGACTACCCACTTTCTGCCACTATTATGTCTGAATACGCTAACAAGAAGACACGTGGTGCTTTCGTCGCGGCCGTGTTCGCCATGCAAGGTATTGGCATCTTAGCCGGAGGTTTCGTGGCACTTGCGGTCTCTTCCATTTTCGACAAAGAGTTCCCATCTCCGACCTATGAAGTCGATAGAGCTCTCTCAACGCCTCCACAAGCTGACTACATTTGGCGAATCGTCGTCATGTTTGGTGGTATACCCGCAGCTTTGACTTACTACTGGCGTATGAAGATGCCCGAAACTGCTCGTTACACCGCTTTGGTTGCAAAGAACGTCAAACAGGCGACACAAGACATGTCCAAAGTTTTACAAGTGGAACTTGAGGTTGAGCACAGAGCAGAGGTTATCGTTTCAGACCCAAGACTAAACTATGGCTTGTTTTCCAAGGAATTCGCCAAGCGTCATGGTCTTCCCCTTCTCGGATGTACCTCCACTTGGTTCTTGCTAGATATTGCTTTTTACAGCCAAAACTTGTTTCAAAAAGATATATTTTCGGCTATCGGATGGATTCCAAAGGCAGCAACCATGAACGCAATCGATGAGGTTTTCATGATCGCTAGGGCACAAACTCTCATTGCACTTTGCAGTACCGTTCCTGGTTACTGGTTCACGGTCGCATTTATTGATATCATGGGAAGGTTTGCGATCCAGTTAATGGGATTCTTCATGATGACTGTGTTTATGTTTGCCATTGCCTTTCCTTACGACCACTGGACCAAACCCGACAACCGTATCGGATTTGTGGTTATGTACTCACTCACATTTTTCTTTGCTAACTTTGGACCCAATGCAACCACTTTTATTGTCCCAGCTGAGATTTTCCCAGCTAGGCTAAGGTCCACATGCCATGGAATATCAGCTGCAACAGGTAAGGCTGGAGCCATTGTGGGAGCTTTCGGGTTCTTATACGCCGCTCAGTCACAAGACAAGAACAAGACGGATGCAGGATACCCACCAGGCATTGGAGTCAAGAACTCATTGATTGTGCTTGGTGTCATTAACTTTATCGGAATGCTCTTTACCTTCCTTGTTCCTGAACCTAAGGGTAAATCTCTTGAAGAGCTCTCCGGTGAGACTGAGGCTGAAAAATGATTTACTGTTTCGATTTTTAAATTTCTTATGCAATTTGATGTTTTTTTTGCGATGGGTTATGTTAAATCTGTAATGGTGCGCCTTTACATTTGTTTTCGTGTGAGAAAATGTGATCAAATCAATATTTGGTGGTAAATTTTTTATATATATTGAGTTTATTGCTTATCTCTATTACACACTATTAAGTTCCTTATAGCTGTTATTTTGTGTATATATTTTCGTTTTACATGTCTACCTCTTGCATAACCACGAAACATATAAAATCACTTGATACGATAATTTGTACATAGCTAATCGATATGTCTCCAGATAAAGCATTTTTTGTCTCAGAATAAGTTTAAAGAGTAAGTAAATAATAAAAAAAAACGTAATTTAAATTAACTTGTATAAGACACACATAGATATATAATTGGTACTAGGACAAGATCCGCGCATTGCGCGGGATGAAGCTATTATCTTTATTATGTTTTGAAAAATGAAACAATAGTTCGGTTTCATTCGGATTAGAGGTGTTCAATCCGGATATCGGGTTTCGGTTCGGCTCGATTTTTTGGTATTTCGATTATTAAAATATAATTACTATTCTAAATCTATATGTACTTCAGTTTGATTTGGTTTATATACTATCGGTTTTCAGTTTATTCAATTTTATACCAAAAACATGATTATTTAGTTTGAGATCATATTATATATTATACAAATATATAATATATCATATTTAGAGTCATATTGTCACAGAGTCATTTATTAAAAAAAATATTATATATTTAAATAAAAGAATAAAAAACAAAAAAGGCTTCTATCATCTAATAAAATGATCAAATCTAGAATTAATATCAAGACACTAAATTTTGAAAATAAAAATTAAAAAAAAACAAAACAGAAGCATGAAAGAAAAGTTTTTATATTCTTCCATGAGTTGTTCTTGGGTTCACCCCCTAGGATGAACCTCTAGGTTCACCATCCAATAGGATTTCACTATTTCATATTTGATATCTTTCAAAAAAGGAAACAAAATCTTGTTAAGTTATAGTATTTTTTTAAAAATAAAAAATACAAAAATAAATAAAAAATAATAACAATTAATAAAAACAAAAATGATCTTTTTTTAAAGAAAATATTTTAACACTATACCCTAAACTCTAATCGTAAAACCTAAACCCCTAGGTAAATCATAAACCTTTGGATAACTTTTATAAAAAAAAAGTTCTTTAAAAAAAATGTTTTAACACTAAACCCTAAAATCTAATCCTAAACCCTAAACCCTTGGGTAAATCATAAACACTAAACCCTAAACTCTAATCCTAAACCCTAAACCCTTGGGTAAATCATAAACACTAAACCATAAACTCTAATCCTAAACCCTAAACCCTTGGATAAATCATAAATATTAAATTTTTAAAACACTATAAGATTTATCTAAAGGTTTATGATTTAACCATGGATTTAGGGTTTGTGATTATAGTTTAGGGGTTAATGCTAATAATTTTCTTTTAAAAAGAATTATTTTCGTTTTTTATTTATTTATTTATTTTCTATTTTTATTTTTAAAAACATAATATAACTTAATAAGATTTTATTTCCTTTTAAAAAATATATCAAATATGAAATAATGCAATCCTATTGGATGGTGAACCTAGAGGTTCACCCTAGGGGGTGAACCCAAGAATAAGTCTTCTTCCATATCTAGTGTTCATCAAACCAATATGTCTTCGATTGAACACAACTCTGTTTGTTTAAAGATTAAAAAAAGTTGTAAAGAATTTCAATTAACTGTTGTCCATTAAATTTATAATCTTTACTTCAATTTAGTTACTGTTAAAAAAGAAAAAGATCAAAATAAGAAGTCTAAGTTGTAATAAATTGTTAACTATTTACAAATTATAATTATAGTTCAACTCATGTAACAAATAGATATTCATGCGTCGTTATAAATATATACATATTTACATGTTTCAGTTTAATCAGTTATAAATCAAACCATATCCAAATCCTATGGTTTTTATAAAATCACATTCATTCGGTTTGTATGGTATATACCAAAAATAACCATATTATCGATTGTTAATNTTATAATTATAGTTCAACTCATGTAACAAATAGATATTCATGCGTCGTTATAAATATATACATATTTACATGTTTCAGTTTAATCAGTTATAAATCAAACCATATCCAAATCCTATGGTTTTTATAAAATCACATTCATTCGGTTTGTATGGTATATACCAAAAATAACCATATTATCGATTGTTAATATCTTTTAAAAGTATAAAATAAAAAAAAAAGAACTAAGATATTTAAATCATTGATAACAAAAAATTTCAATGTGAAAAATTTAATAATTTTATAAGTTATAAATGTTCTTGAAAATTTATTGAGGATTTTGAAATTAAAATATTATGTAATCTTATATGGTATATAGTTTAATCTGTATATATATTTGTTTTATTATTGAATGATACTTTTTATTTATATGGTTTTAAAATCATGTATATCTTTTTATAATAAAAATGTTAAACTATTGATTATTAATTTTTAACATAATAATTTTAATAGTTTAGTTATTTATTCTCGTTTTTCAAATTCAAAATATAACCTATACGCAAAAATCTTAAGTTTAATTTTATAGCTAATTTGATTGTTTAATTTATTTTAATAATATAAAATTAAAGAAAAATGATAGAGGATATATAAATTGTTATCAAATATTTATTATTAGAATCATTAAGTGTCATATATATATATATTAGTCATTTATAGTAATTCCGTAGGTTTTATTTATGGAAAGAAAATAAAATAGTAATATATCTAGGGGAACAATCATAAATGATTCTATCATAAATATCATATCATATCATCATATCATATAATTTGACCAACGAATGTATCTAGTGAAATATAAAAATTGAATGTGGACCTACTTATTTTTCAATTGAATGTAATTGACTACCTAATTGAGTGACACCTAAGCATGGGGTCTTTTTTAATTATTACAAAATTGAGGTTACAATTTTTTAAATGTTTCTCCTTTAATATATAAGGGATGAGTTGGATCGATCGATTTTAAAAATATTTACTAGGGATATATATGATAGCAACTATCTAAGTCAACTAAGACAATAACTTACCCTTATTAAAATGAATACATAAGTGTATGTTCTTCCGGAAATCCTATGTTTTTCGAATATGCTTTGTTAGTTTACGTTAATAATGATTTTAACATTTGCTAAATGATAATTAATTAATCTTCATATGTGTCCAGATTGTCATTCCTCAAATATCATATGTCATCTGTTAAAGTTGGCCGAACCGACTACAGAAAAATAAAAGATAGATATTATGCCACACAAAACGATAAATATATAAGAACTTGTAGTTCTACACTTAGGCCATGTTCTTTTTTTCACCCAAACCAAAAAATTGCATTTTCCCACTAAAATTCAAAAAGTGAGTTTTTCCATTTAAAATGCAAATTTGAAATTTTCCATGAAAATCACTAAATCGATTTTTCTTACCGAAACAAACAAGAAAATCACCTTTTTCGTTGAATCCACAAAATCAGTTTTTTTTTATCAAATTGCACAATTGCGCTTCGCTGAAACTGTGAAATCTTATTTTTCACTAAAACTGTAAATTATATTTCTCACGAAATCGTAAAATTGCCTTTTACTATCAAAAAATAAAATTACTTTTAGAAATATTTACTTAAATATAATAATTAGTTTATTATTAATAATATAATCATGTTCTTTTTATTTTGTTTAACTACTAGTATTTAATGTTATTATAAAATCAGAAAACGAGAAACTTAACATCAATATGTTGCATCTGAATGTAAATAATAATTAAAAAAAAACAACATTTGGATGTAAGGTTTTGTTGTATTCAGACCCTATATCTAGATGCTGTCATCAAATACAAAAAAAAAACATGATCTTAGTATAAGAAAATGCATTTTATTTTGCATAAAGCAATAACTCCAGAGTTGTCAAAAATACATATACGTAATGTAATGTCAATATTGGTTACAAGTCACGCCGGCTGTAGTTCCCAACGGAACAAACTACAAACTAAAGTCGTGTATAAATTGCTTATAATGCACATCTTTAGCTGTCTCTCATTATCATTCTTTTTTTTGTTTGTGTATGTCTCCATAATCATTCTGTGTCCAATTTTAAAAAAGACGGCTGGAACTGCTAAGTATATTAATTCTTTATGAGAAAATAGTTTTTTTTTTAAGTCAAATAGCTTTGGACATGGTCCCCTTAGGTTAATTTGATTTACTTATTGTTTCATTAGGTAAAATATTTTTTCTGAATGACAGTCCTACCCTTAAATTATATAGTTTTAGTTATTAATTTGTAATTAGGTTAATTATAATTATAAAAAATTGAAATTTGTATTTTAATAAATATTAAAATATAATATTATTCTAAAAAGATAAAATAAAAATAAAATTTATATCCTTGCTATATTTTCGGATGGGTGTAAATATAATAAACCTTTTAAATTATTTTTTTTTTAATAATTTTTTTTATAAAAAATTTAAATTTAATAAACTAAAATTATACACCTAGTCCACAGTAATACTCCATCAGATTTTTAAAAAAATCGGATTGATTTCCATATTTACACCTCGTCTAGAGTAATTTTTTTTTTAAAAAATATAATAAATATATTTTTTTTTTAAAAAAAGTTGAATTTTAAATATGGAAACCGAATATTTCCTAATATATTTTTGCTATATTTTCGGATCTAATAATATTTATCCGTAGAATTCAGATTCTACTAAAGGTAGAACTGTGTAAAAAGATATGAAATCAGTTTCTACATGTATTAGAACGTTGTGAGAATGTAGATTCCGATTTCTACTAGTTTTAGATTTAAGTAAAAGTTTAGATTTCAATTTCTACTTTTATTAGAACTCTATGATATGCGTGGAATGTGTATTCCAAACTATTTTAGATTCGTGTTATCTTCGTAGAAAACATATTCTG